CTATCTCTCCGGGGCGGGGCCCCAAACGGTGGGAAAACCCCGGTGTACTTGGCAGAGGGGGGCTTGGGTGTGAACCGATTTTGCTGTTAGTAGCCTGAGACCCTCGGAGAGTATGTAACCTCTCTGACCTTCAGTTTTCGCATCATTATCCAGGGACTCGTAGGATCTAGAGCAGACCGAGATGTAGAGCGTGTCCGCGCCTTGCACGCGTGCACACACCATTAAAGGGATTCCAGTCTATTTTTTTTAAAGAAAGGTTCAGTTTCGCCCTGGCTGGTGTGGCTCAGTGGTTAGAGCGCTGGCCCGCGCACTCCGGGCTCTCGGTTTGATTCCTGGTCCAGGGCCCTACCTGGGTTGCAGGTTGATCCCTCTCCTTCCAGGCGCGTGCTACAGGCAGCCCCCTGATGTGTCTCTCTCACATGGATGCTTCTCTCTCACTCCCTCGCCCTTCTCCTCCCATCCTTCCACTCTCTCTCTTAAAAAATAAATAAATAAATAGAGAGAGAGAGAGAGAGAGAGAGAGGGAAACACTTGGTACCTCCTGGCAAATTTGTGAGCGCTTTACAGAAATCTGTTTGGTAGGGACTGAGGAGTCCCTGGGGAAAGAGCAAACCATAAAGGGAGAGGTGTCCAGGCAGGGGACCACTCTAGACTAGAGGGTCCCCACTGATTCTGAGTATCGTCTGTTGACTGCCGTGTGGCCTAGGCCCTGCTGGTGCATGTCTGAGCCCCATGGAGAACAGGGGCTGTTGGACTGAAATCTCCGCAAGGCACTGGTGCACGTCCGGCTTGGGTATCCCATAGCGGGGACAGCATGAAGGGGCCAGGGCACTCTTCTCTTGGGAGCAGACCAAGTCCAGCTTCTGCAGAGTGAGTCCTTCAGCATGTGGCAGGAGGTGGTGGGACCTGGGGACCCAGCAGCACAACCACAGTGGCTGTCCTGACGGACTGAGATGCCTCGTGAGGAGTAGCAGTATGTGGCAGAGCAGGTTGTTACTACCAGCCATGCCCGGGAATTCTCAGAAAGATGGGGCCTACTTTACCATGACCTTGGAGCCTGTGGGAATGGATGGAGACAGAGCAGTGACAGGTTGTTACTATTAGCCCGTTTTCCTCTCAGATTTGTGAAGCCTGCAACACACACACACACACAGGCATAGTCTCCAACCCCAGGGTCTTTCTTGACACTTTGGGGCTGAAAGTCCTAATTACAAATCACTTACTTCGTGTTCCACTGTTTTCACGAAACTCCTGTACCTGGACTCCAGAGGTATGGGCAGGGCACAGGGTAGCAAAGAGGGAAGCTATAGGAAGAGGGTGATGCAAGGAAGAGACAAGAGCCCAGGCAAGAGATGGGGGAGATGACTGGGCAGGAGGGATGCAAAAGAGGGGGCAGGTGTGTTTGCTCCTAGGTCAAGCTGGAATAATAGTACTCAGCAGCCACAGACACTTGTGACGTCTTCAGAAGTCAGTTCCATCTTGATGATGGCTACATGGGTCTCTGTCCAGCCCAGACGTCCCTCCCAGCCCCAGCCCTATAAATCTGATGATGGGAAAATTAGACTCCAAATCTCTCGAGAGCAGGGATTTTGTTTTATTTTTGTCTTAGTTTTCCCAGCACCTGTCGCTTAGTTGGAACTAAATAAAGATTCATTGAATAGATGAGTTAACCTCTTGCTCAGTAGGGAGGAAGCTCAAATCTGAGTTATTTTAGACGGAAAACGAGTAAGATGTTTATAGTTTCTCTACCTTGGGCTTCCCAGAGAGGTGCATCCTGCAGGACGAACATTGTTACGGTCACAAAGTATGTTTTACAGCAAATCACATACTTGACAGGTTGATTGCTCTAAAATATGCGCCCTAGTAAGCCCTGGGTGGTCACTGGGCTGTCTGCAAAGTTCCAGTTTTCCTCCTTTCAGGTGCAAGGTAGGATCTCGCTTCCCTGTGGCCAGGTGACTTGCTCTGTTTAGTGCTGTGTGGGAAGCAAGAAGTGAAGAGGGCAGAGTTTTTAAGAGCCAGTGTGTCACTCACCATACAAGCTAGTCCTTCTTCCACTTACCCCAGGAACCAGATGGTGGAGGCTGTGTCCACCTGAGTCCCCAAGAGAGGGGACATGGACCAGAGATGACTGTCTACCTTTGATGGACATGCGGCAGGAATGAGCAACAGACCTTTCTAGTTATAATGCACAGCAATTTTGGACCTGTTTGTGACACAGAATAACATAGCCCTTCACGTCCGACACAGCCGTTCAGACCATTGTTCTTTACTTGCTACATTGACAAAAACTAGGGACCTTGTGCACGGGTGTACATACATTATGATCATTGTGATTTACCTTTTAAGTGTCAATGTCTGCATTTTCATCTTCAAACACATAGAGGAAACATACTTTTAAAATGTGTGACTTGCATTTCACATATATTCCTCCTAGAGAAACTTTATGAATCCTACTTTCACAACTGCTACTTCCACGGCCCCAAATCCCATGTGTGGTACTTATGTTTCACTTTTTTATTATGTCCTCAACAAAAACTGGAGAGCCCTTGGTCACCTTCCACTGTGTAGTAAATCCGAGAGTTGGAGATCATTGTAAGCCTCTCTCCTCTCGTGCACTCTGCTCTGACTTTTGTGTAAACAATCCTAGCTCTGCCTTTTGTCATCAGTCATACTTTAGAAACTTAAAGAAGAGTATGTACATGTATGTTCTTCTTTATCTCCACCTGGAGTCAGGCACCACACGGACTGGAGATGCCTGTTAGACAAAACCCTCACCATGGATGGTGGGATAGCTTTACCTTCAAGACTTAGAAGGGGAAGAAGCTGCAGGAATTTGGTGCTGTTTCTTCCCTCTCTAAAGAGAATTCAAAAATTGGATTTGATTTTATGCCCTAAACATAGATCCTTTCATTATTTAAAAAAAAAAAAAGTAGCTAAAATTCTTGCCTCTTGTACCCACCCTTTGCTTTTAAGTTCCCACCTTATTATGGATGAAGAAGCAATTTCAGGAAACAGTTACAGGCTTAGTCTGTGTGTCCACAGGGGCAAGAGGCTCCCTTAGGATCTCTGTGTATGGTGAGTAGCACCACAATCACTAACAACAGCGAGATAGTAACTAACAACTAGGTAGCAACCAACACTCTCTGAGCTGCTATGTACCAGGCATCACACTGGATCCTTTACAAGCATCGTCAAACTGCAATCTCTCAACAGCCCTGCAAGGTCCTGTTCCCGTTTCAGTCAAAAACAAAACAAAAAAATGAAAAAAGAAATGCAACCAGGGGGCTGGTGTGACTTGCCTGAGGCTGAGCCAAGATGTGAGCCCTGAGCCAAGGTGGCCCCCTGCTGTCCCATCTCATTGCACTGCCCCCGTGTGTCACCCTTTCCTGAAAGCTCAGAAGGACTTCTCTGCCTGGAAAGGGAGCCCGGCCTTCAGCGCCTGGTGGAAACTGTGCCCGCCGCCTCTGCCTGGCATGGAGTAATACTGCCACCATGTGGCGAGCTGGCTACACTTGGACAACCTTGGCGGCGGAGCAGTCAGCCTGCTGGTCAGACACTTACTCAGTGTTGAGCACCTACTGTCGTCAGGTACTTGGCTAGGCCCCTGCTGCTGCTGCCGCGGCTGCTGCTACGACTGTTCCTTCTTAGTGAATTAAATGATGTCAAGGATTTAGGCTCGAGTGAATGTTTAACGTTTTATTCATCATTTATTTGGAGCACTTTCATCTAGGGGTCATTCGCACCACTCAGAAATTATAATGATGCCTCAGCTTTGGGCAGTGGCTGGTTTTTGTTGTTTTTCCCTCCA